TTGGTTGCTAGGTTGTTAAGTGTGCTGTTTGGTTGCTAGGATGTTAAGTGTGCTGTTTGGTTGCTAGGATGTTAAGTGTGCTGTTTGGTTGCTAGGATGTTTACTCAAATCACCAACTCTAATGTGAGCAGTAATGAAAGTGTGAAAGTGATGCTCGACTTATTAATAAACACTACAAATGAAGACTAAATCTAAATTTGGTTTGCTAAATTAGTTTTGCGTTGACCTTTTCCGTTTTGCTTGGTGTTAAAATCATTTAGAAACCACATACTATGATTTTTGGCATCGTTTTAGACGGATCTGATTTCTATGAGGTTGAGTTTGAAAAGAAATGTGCCAATATGAGAATGCAGGTTTATTTGTCAAATTCACACAGATTGGTGAAAAAGCATTAGGTAAGCGGGAGAATCATTTAGTGCAGATTCATGTAACTGCTAAACAGACAGAAAAGTGTGATCTGTTTCCTCTTCCTGTTGACCTCTGGTGGAGAGCGTGCACATGTGACTCATCACACATAACTGTGAGCTCCAGATTGGCGGCACAAACACAATTGTTCTTTAATTTTAAAAACTGAAACCTGCAGTTGATATGAATTATGATATGAATTATATGTGGAAAATATTCACTTCAAGGTTGTGGTCATGATGACATAATTTAATAAGATGATGTATAAGAAATGTATCAAATGTAACACATTTGTTTTATTTTTGTCTCGTGTTTTAGGTAGTGTTTTTTTATATATATATTTAAAATCACTCCGATCAATTGTCGATATTATATCATCATGATATAATATTAACATTATGATATTAAATCATTCAACTAATTTTAATATTTTTGAGCCATTGCCATTTTCATAGTTGTGGCAGCTGGTGTTGATTTAAAGAGTGCTTATACTCGCACACTATTTTTGTAAAGTTGCATTTAGCCTAATAATGGATGCACAGATTCTAGTGTGCATCTTGCAGATGGCTGCTGAATGTCTTTATACAGTCGTTGTAAGCAGTGCTCGGTAACTCTCATTCATAGCAGTTGTGCCATCAGCTGTGCATCACTCCCCTGTGACTGAAGCTCAGGAATTCAGGTCACTTTACTCCACTGAGCTCTGCTAACTGGAGAAAGAGGACTCGGTCTATGATATAATGCTATAGACCACAATACCACCTCATTAGTTTTGCCATTAAGGTTACACATGCATATCAAAAGCAAAGCATTTGTGCCCAACCATAAATGTTCCTGACACTTTCCATTGGTTTCCACACATTTTGTCTGACAGGTCTGGGTATACTGCCTTCATCTAAATCACCGTGGCTGTGCTGAAGAAGAAAGGGAGATAGATGGATGATGGTGCGATGCAAGGTTTGGTGATTTGAACGTAAGCTGCAAAAGATGTGTGCAGGTGAATGCATGGATGGATAGGCATTTTTAGCAGTCTAATTATGTTATAGCTGATGTGAGAGAGAGATCTAATATTATATATATAACATTATAATCCATTCTGTTCTTTCATACATATGAAAAAATAAATATAGGGAAAAAACAGTAGAAATTTTAGTTTGAATATACAAATATGTATTTTAAAAATAATATTTTATAGTTTGAAATATAAATATACATTTATCAAAATATTAGTGCTGTCAAACGATTAATCGCATCCAAAATAAACATTTTTGTTTACATAATATATGTATGTGTACTGTGTATATATGTTTATATAAATACACACACACATACAGTATATATTTTGAAAATATTTACATGTGTGTGTGTATATATATTTATATTC